TATTCTCCTACCGCTGGAGTTCTGCTGTTCTCATTGATCTGTAAACTTGGTTTTGGCTGGCTGTTCTTGCTGATCTTCTGGGGGAGGGGCCTGTTGCCATGGTTCCCAAATGTCTTTGCTGGAGGCGGAATTGCCCCGGAATTGCCCCGCCCTTGCCCGGTCAGGGCTAAGTAATCTGCTGGGGTTTGCTCTCCGGAGCTTTTGTTCCCTGCAAGCTTTCTGTACAGCTTTGGAGGAGGAGAGTGGAAAATGGTGGCCTCGCAATCTCCGCCCCGGAGGAGCCGAGAACTCGGGGCCCAGCTCCTCAGTGAGTCCCCAGAGAAAAGCAGTCAGTCGCTCCCGTCTCCCCGGTCTCCGGCCTCACTGCATGCTCACCCGGCCTGCGACCGAGGGAGGATTTCTATTTCTGGCACCCGACCCCGTGTGGAGTCTCCAAACCCAGCAGGTCCCTGTGGTGTGCTCCCATGCCGCTCCTCCCCGGGGAGGAAGGGGAGTCTCCCTGGATCTGCGGCGTGTTGGGTCCCTGCTGGAGGAGCAGTGGCCCGACTGTGCCGCGGATCATGGTTTATGGCAACCCCGAGCTGAGAGCCCGCGCCTGGGCTCCGTCTCTGCAGCCGGCTTCCCTGCTCCAATACCTGGGAGCTCTGCCGCACTCAGGCACCCCCGGTCTTTCTGTGACCCTGAGGGTCCTGAGACCACACTGTCCCGTGAGGGTTCCACCCCCAGCTTAGCCACTGGAGCGACGTCCCTCAGCGGAGCCGACTTCTAAAAGTTCTGATTTTGTGCTCCGTGGCTCTATCGCTTGCCAGAAGCGGCCGACGGAGGCCCCTTCCCCGCCGTCTATCCTCCTGAATATTGCCTCGGATTCACTTCTCTGCACGTCCTACCTTCCAGAAAGTGGTCGCTTTTCTGTTCAGAGAGTTGTTGCTATTCTTTTCTTCGATCTCCTGTTGAGTTTGTAGGTGTTCAGAATGGTTTGATCCCTATCCAGCTTCATTCCTGAGACCAGACGAAATCCAGGTCTCCTACTCCTCTGCCATCTTGCTCCGCCCCCTAAACTAGTATTTAAAATATAGTTGGTAAGCTTTTGTATTCTCTTCTTCAGAATTGAATCAGTTTTTTTTTGTAGATATGCATGGGAGAAAACACTATTTTAAAAGATTTATTTCAGAGAGAGAGAGAGAGCAGGCACGCAGGCAGGCGAGCCGAAGTGGGGAGAGGGGGTGGGCAGAGGGAGAGGGAGAGAATCCTCAAGCAGATTCCTTACTGAGCACAGAGCCTGAGGGGATGCAGGGCTCAGTCCCAGGACCCTGAGATCATGACCTGAGCCGAAATTAAGAGTTGGCTACTCAACCGACTGAGCCACCCAGGCTCCCCTGGAGAAAGCACTTCTTTCTAACAGTATCATTTAAAAAGTTCTTTGTGGGGGCACCTGGGTGGTTCAGTCAGTTAAGCAACTGCCTTAGGCTCAGGTCATGGTCCCAGGGTCCTGGGATGAGTCCCACATCGGGCTCCTTGCTCAGCAGGGAGCCTGCTTCTCCCTCTGCCGTTCCCCCTGCTTGGGCTCTCTCTCTGACAAATAAAATCTTTTAAAAAAAAAAAAGTTCTTTGTGTGTTACATAAATAGTGCTACTGCTAATTATTATTAGATGATAAGAGCAGAGGTAAAGTCAAATTGAGATGTCCTTTTTGAGTCTGTAAAAATGTAGGTGCTTGGAATTTTTAAATTATTTGAATTTTATTTTAACTAACAGTTTGGTTGATAGAGTTGAGAAATATTTATTAAAGGATCATGCTTATTAAGCACTGGTAATGTATCTGTTCAACAATACTTACTTGCCTAGCCAATTTATGTCACGCCCAGTTCTAGGCCCTGGGAATACAAGGATGAATAAACCATTATGGGGTTTATATTTTAGTTGGATAGGAAATGAACAAATTGTAACGTGAAGTGATAAGTGCTTTTGAAAAAATATAACCTAGAGTGAGGAGAGAGAGTATGATGGAGTGGGGACTATTTAGATAGATTAGTCAGGGAAGGCTGTTTTGAGGGAAGAAGAAAATCTTGTAAAAAGTTACTCTGGGCAGATGGAATAGTAAATGGCGAAGAGCATGAGTCAGGATCTAGCTCATTGAGAACCAGTTTGGTATGTTGGAAGAAAGGCAAGAAAACTGGTCTGACAAGAGCAGAGAGAATGAAGTGGAGAATGATAGGAATTGAGGGTAAAGTGATCGGCAGGGGCAGAGCATGTTTGACCTTATTGCCCATGGATTTTATTTTGAGTGTACTGTTGACATACGACATGGAGTTAGGGGTGTCAGCACCCCCCCCGCCACATACTGGAAAATCTTCATATAACTTTCTGACTCCCCTCAAAATTTAAATAATAGCCTACTGTTGATTGGCAGTCTTACTGATAATTTAGTCAGTTAGCATATATTTTATACGTTATATGTATCATATATTGCATTCTTACAATAAAGCTAGAGAAAAGAAACTTATGAAGAAAATATTACAATGCTGTACTGTACTTACCGGAAAAAAAAAGTCATGTATAAGTGGACCTGTGTAGTCCAAATCTGGGGGCAGAGTTGTGACATGATTTGATTTTTTACAAAGTTCAATGCAGCTACTGAGTGGAAAACTAGCCATAGGAAGGGCAAGGTCTCAAGCGGTGGACCATTTAGGAAGATTTAACAGTGATCTAGGCTTGTGGTTTCCAACGTATTCATGTGGTGCATAAAAAAAACTGTTAAGGGGCGCCTGGGTGGCTCAGTTCATTAAGCGTCTGCCTTCGGCTCAGGTCATGATCCCAGGGTCCTGGGATCGAGCCCCGCATCGGGCTCCCTGCTTGTAGGGAAACCTGCTTCTCCCTCTCCCACTCCCCCTGCTTGTGTTCCCTCTCTCGCTGTCTCTGTCAAATAAATAAATAAAATCTTAAAAAAAAAAAAAAAACAACCAACTTACAACTGTATTTATACTTATTTTTTTTAATTAAGCTTTATTAATATTTGATATACATATTGGTACTGGCACCCACATTCCATTTGTATATTAGTTACATGTGACCCACCATTTTTGGCCTGAGCAACTGGGTGAGTGCTGGTATTTACTGAGATGGAAAACAGGGCAGAGCAGGGTTCGTTTGGGGGTAAGGATGGGGAAACAGTAACACAATTTGGGGCATTTTAGGTTTGAGATGCCTCTTAGACGTCTAATGAGATTTATCAGGTAGGTGGTTTAAATGTATGACCTGGAGCCAAGGTTAGAGATACAAGTTTGGAAATCATCAGCATAGAGGCAGTATACAACAACTTTGGAGCCAAACTGTGTGAATACAGATTTCAGCTTTGCCACTTACTGACTTGAATTGTGGACAAGTTAACTTGGCATCTCTCTGCTTCATTTACCCCACCTATAAAATGGAGATAATAAGTGTTTGCCTCACCGGGTTATTGTGAGAATTAAATGAATTAATAAAAGCAAAGTCCTTAGAACAGCATCTGGCATGCAGTACACACTAGATACTATGACTATCAGTTTAAGAATGGTGTTTAAGACCAGGAGATTAGATGAGATGACCCAGGGAATGAATGTAGGTAGAGAAAAGGGCCCAAGGAAGGAGTGCTCAAATAATATAACCTTTAAGATTCAGAGATAGGAGGGAGGAGACTGAGGAGTGGGGTAGGGGTCCAACCAGGAGGATGTGGGGTCTGGAAGCCTGCCTAGTGAAGAAAACATTTCAAGGGGAGAAATCATCATTGGATAAATTCTGCTCAAGAGTTTGAGTAAGATGAGGACCTGGAATTGATCAATAGGTTTGTTAAAATGGAAGTTGTTGGAGACCATGGGAAGTGGTTTCAGTTGGTGTTGGATATGAATATCTGATTGGAGTGGGTTAAGGAGAGAATTGGAAGTACAGAATTGGAGAACATGAGTATAGACAGAGGGGTTTTTCTATAAAGAGGAAGAGAGAAAATAGAGTGGTAGTCCACCAATATGTGCGGAGTCAAGGAAAGGTTGGAGTGGGGTGTGTATTGATTTAAAATGGAAGATAATGCAGCAAGTTTGTATACTGATTAGAGTTCCCCAGTGGGAAGAGAAAACTTCACATATGAGTGACATGGGATAGTTGCAGTAGCCAAGACCTAGAGTAGGTAAAATCAGGTGGTTTAGGGCACAGATGGAGGGATTAGTCTTAGATACTGGCAGAGACCCTTCATCCATTGATGAAGGTAGAGAATATTAGTGGGGATTACAGATAGATTGGTGGATTTGGTTTTTGAGTGCTTTAATTTTTCCAATAAAAGGCAAGATTATCAGGTGAGAGAAGTGGGAAGGAGTTTGTAAGGTTTGAGAGAGAGAGGAAGTGAAATAGGCGTCTTGGAAGATGGGATAATGAATTGACTAGGGAAGTGCAGGTGAAATGTCAAGGAGTTCCAGTGGCTGATCTGACACTGGTGATCATTACAGTGATTCCAGGAGACAGACGAGGGAAATGTGGTCTTGAGAGCATATGCAGTGAAAAAGCAGTGGGGATAACGTCTCCTCTGTTTCTGTTTTGAACTCTAGTCACATGGCTGAGAAGATTGCTCTTGGAACATTGCTCAGATCCATGGATATTGACAGAGAAGTTAATAAAAGCAAATAGGCCAAAACCGAATCATTTCATTTTTGCCTATGTTCAGTTTCTGTATGATGTTATTTTGTGTAGAGGATGAGTTTTTAGAGGTGTTTATGTTGCCATATCTCCTTGAGCGTGCCTGCTTTACACAAATGATATCAAGTAGGTTCTGGGCTACTTTCAGTGAATTATATTTGGTTGCTGAGTTACGTTAAAGTAAAAAACTCTAATAGGAAAGCTTAATGGTTAGATAGCCTCACCTAAGTTTTCCCTGGGACCTGTGGTTTCCATTAATCTAGGATTATCACTCATGTTGATTTCATACTTTGTGTTTGATTACAAGTCAATTCAAAGTCTACTTTTCTTTTCTTTCAGGTGCTGGAGAATCTGGTAAAAGCACCATCGTGAAACAGATGAAGTAAGTTGGAACATGGCCTTTTGTAAAACTACATTTCCTCATAATGCGTGAAAGTCCATAGTATCTTTTTTTTTTAGGTCTGTGGTAATGATTTGTGGTTTTCTTTTTAAAGAATCATTCATGAGGATGGCTATTCAGAGGAAGAATGTAAACAATATAAAGTAGTTGTCTACAGCAATACTATACAGTCCATCATTGCAATCATAAGAGCCATGGGGCGGCTAAAGATTGACTTTGGGGAAGCTGCCAGAGCAGTAAGTGTTTCTCATTTCTTCTTCACTTGCTTTCTTTTAGTAAATGCAGTTAAGCAAAATTTGCTCCATGTTTTAGGGAAATGAATTCAAACAACAAGAGAAGATGTAGCAAGTACTGTGTGCTCATTTGAGAAGTATTAGTAATCTGCTTTAGGAGATTTAAGATTACCACCACACAGAAGAGTCAAGGAAATGGGATTTTTTGGATATCCTCTAGGTTTCTGTGACAGCTGTTCTTTATTCACTTCTTTTATAGCACTGTCTTATTTTATAGTAGTAAATGCTAATTAATTGAAATAATCTAAAAGAGGTAGCTCTGCTTTTCTGCAGTGTAAAAATAAAAGGCAAATATCAGTCTCCTGAAACATACTTGAGAAGGACATGAACATTTAGTCACAATTATAGGGACAATTTTTAGGTATTCAAAAATTCCATATCCCTGTACTACTTTGGACTATAACCTATACAGTTGGATTATACCACGTCCTAGGATAATTCTTGCACATGTCAGATATTCTTTTTTTTTTTTTTTTTTTAAGATTTTATTTATTTATTTGAGGAGAGAGAGAGTGAGAGAGAGAGCGCAAGAGGGGGTAGGGTTAGAGGGAGAAGCAGACTCCCCGCCGAGCAGGGAGCCCGATGTGGGACTCGATCCCGGGACTCCGGGATCATGACCTGAGCCGAAGGCAGTCGCTTAACCAACTGAGCCACCCAGGCACCCGCACATGTCAGATATTCAAAAGTTGTGTTGATTAATTATAATACTTAGTGCACCATGAAGTTCTTGTTTGTAAATTAGGATGTTTGATGCAGTGGAGAGAGGGCCAAAATGAAGGCAGGAGATCTTTTACATCTCCAGCTGTACTCCTAAGAGAAGGCTGGGAATGTATAGAATGATTTCCTAGAACTAAGGGAGTCTTCAGCTGTGTTCAGAGTGTTGTTCTTAGGTGCTGTGGACAATAAAAGGAGGTGACTTGGGAAGGCTGCCAGGAAAGGCAAAGCCTATGTGTCTGTGAAGTAGCTTAGGGACTCTTAGCTGCTCTCAATTTATCAATTAACAAGCTATTATTAATGCAAATTAATATTCAGTAAACAAGTAGAGAAATTGTTGATGGGAAAGATCACAAAAGGATGGTTATAATTGGATGGTATTCAACTAGGAATCCTAGAAGTGGAATAAGGGAAGAGGAGCTGGGGTAAGGATTATAAAATGATTGAAGAGAAGAGCAGCAGAAGAGGGGACAAGGAAATATGTGAGGCACAACTTTTATGTTTTTGTTTAAAAAAGGTGCCGTATCACAATTAGAGACTTTATTTTTCTAAGCCTCTGAGAGGGGGAAATAGGATAGTGAATGCAAGAATAAACAAGGCATTTCTGTCTTACATCTTGCATCCTTTCTCTACCTCCTGCTTTTCTTTCCCTCTATTCCTTTCTTCCCTCTGCCCCCCACCCCCAGCTCTCTCCAGTGTTCTTATTTTCTCATCCCTCCCTGTCACCTAACTCTTTGTCTCTGTCATGTTCGCCCGATCCGATAACTGGTTGATGCTACTGTATTTAGTTCTTTTCCTTTCTTTACTGGCTTTTTCTCCAGCTCAGTTATTTACACCTTCTCTTTGTTTCTTCCTTTTTTATTTCTCACCGTCTGTCCTCCTTTATATCTCTTGATCATCCCTCCTCCTTTCATTTCTTTCCATTGTCAAATTGGTTGTTATTAATGTTTGGGTCCTCACACTACTTTGTCACCAATACAATTGACATTTTCTGTCTTTGTCCAGTTGCGCTGCTGTAACAAAATACCACAGATGTAGTAGATTGTTAACAACAGACATTTATTGTGCACACTTCTCGGGGCTGGAAGCCTGAGATCAGAGTGCTAGCATGGTCGGATGAGGGCCCTCTTCAGTTGTAGGCTTCTCACTGTGTCTTCACATGGCAAAAGGCGAAGGGAGCTCTCTCGAGTCCCTTTTATAAGGGCACTAATCCCATTCATGGGGCCTCCACCCTCATGACCGTAGTACCTCCCCAAGGCCCCTTCTTCAAATACTATGATATTGGGCATTGTGATTTCAACATATGAATTTTGGAGGGACACAAACATTCAGACCATAGCATCCCTCATCCTTTCATTGCTTCCCTTTATCAAATGAGTGTCATTTATCTTTGGGTGTTAACACTCCTATATCCCCAGATGCAGCCAACATCTCCTTAATTCCTTTTAGGCCTCCTGAATCACCTAGCTTTCCAGCATCCACCCATCCTAATCTATAGCCCTATGTAATTTTTTGAAGTGTCCTTTTTTTTCCTCCATATGTAAGGGTTTCTATTTCTAGTTCCTCACTTATCCTGGTCTGGTTTCTTATGGTTGATTAGAGAGTGAGTGGACAAGAATAGAGATGATGAGGGGTAGGTTGCTTTTTCATATCTGCTTAAGGGTAGAGGTATGAAGTTCATTGTAAAGAGGGGCCTCCTTAAAGGCCTATAAGAGGGCTTATTGTGGAGAAGCAAGAGTAGGTCAGTGGAAGAGATTAAGTGGTAAGGGAAAAGTGCTTCCCCTTAAAACTGTGTTTACAAAGTCAGGACAGCAGAAATATGTAGCAATAACTCTCTCTCTGTTTTAAAGTTTCTAAAATTAAATTGTGTTATTAAAAAAGTAATGCTTATTGAGGCTTTTGAATAGCTTGTATGAGTAGTTCAAATTTCAGAATGGACTATAATGTCTTCACATGTTAAATAAAGCACTATATACATAGAAGGACATGCTCAATATTGAGTATGTTTGCCAGTTGGTATAATTTTTCAACTTCCCTGAGTCATTTGTTCCCTTATTTAAAATGTTTATCTCTGAAAGAAGAGGGGAATATAGATGTTAGATGCAGTTTCTTAGAGAGGGATGGACATAAAGTATTACTAGAAAGAATGCGGGTAAGCACCTTATAAAGGAGAGCTGTTACTTGGCTGAAGACCCCGAGGTTGGCAGCATTACCTGGAGTGCACAATGGTTAGTTTTGTTTTGCTTAGGTGGGTGCATGAGTTTTGGGAACACACAAGTCTTAGGAGTTTTGGGTTGTGATTTCATGTGTGGTCGGAAATGCTTTTTGCTTGCTAGCTTTGTCCTAATGACACTTAGGATACAGTTGATTGCTCCTCTTCCCCCTTTACTTTTTCTTTACCCAGTATAGGTATTTTCTTAGTATCTGCATTTTACTAGTTATTTGGCACTCTCCTTGAGGCAGACAAATAGGAGATTTGAGGTGGGGAAAGCATCCGTGCGACTTGGGTTTATTCAGTTTTTTAAAGATTTTATTTATTTTTTTGGTAATCTCTGCACCCAAAGTGGGGCTCGAACTCACAACCCCAAGATCAGGAATCACACGCTGTACTGATAGAGCCAGCCAGGCACCAAGTTCGTTCGTTTGTTCTTTCTTTCTTTCTTCCCTTTCTTTCCTTCCTTCCCTTCCCTTCCCTTCCCTTTTTCCTTTCTTTTTTCCTCTCCTTTTTCCTTTCCTTCCTTGAGACCTGGGTTTATTTTTAAACTATCTGACAAGGGTGGGTAGACTAAAACAAAATTATCAGAGTTCTCGTAGCCCTTTTCTGTCCTCTTTACAGCTCATGTTTTAGGTTTAAAAACTGTAGCCACTTACAAAGCTTTTTGACTCATGAGTTTTTTGTTGTTGTTGTTGTTTAAATATTTTATTTATTTGTCAGAGAGAGCACGAGCAGGGGGAGCGGCAGGCAGAGGGAGAAGCAGGCTCCCCACTGAGCAGGGAGCCCGAAGCAGGACTCGACCCCAGGACCCTGGGATCATGACCTGAGCTGAAGGCAGAAGCTTAACCAACTGAGCCACCCAGGCATCCCTTGACTCATGAATTTTGATCAAATCTCTTTGTAACTTTCTTTTCCTCTTACTGTCTCCCCTCACTGCCCCCTGCCTTATTTAGAGGATTATTATTCTTTGGGGAATCTAGAAACTGAATTTTTCCCTGAGGGATTTATTTCCCTCACTAGGCTTCCAGACTTCTTAAATAACTCAGTCTCCTCTTCTTCCTGTTGTTCTGTCTGAGCTGAAGGGGGAAGAAGAGAACACTTTTTCCTTAAACTCGATTAATATTTTACTCCCTCTGACGTGTTTAGACTTTACCTCTTACATGCCAGGTTTTTCATTTCTATTTTTATGGTAGACTTCCTTTAACAGAACGGGAATGTGTTACATATGCCTATCTCACAGAGCAGTTTTTCTGTCAAAAAATCATGACTGGGGCACTTGGGTGACTCAGTCAGTTAAGCATCTGCCTTCGGCTCAGCTCATGATCCTAGGATCCTGGGATCGGCCCATGTTGGGCTCCCTGCTCGGCGGGGAGCCTGTTTCTCCCTCTTCCTCTGCCTGCTCCCCGCTTCTCTCTCTCTGTCAAATAAATAAAATCTAAAAAAAAAAAAAATCATGAGTAAGCAGGGTGGAGATTTGTAGGCCAGTCAGAAGAGGTCTTTTTAGGAGATGGTGATATGTGGTAGGGGGATTGAAATCATTCCTCAGCTCGGCTCTGCACTTCTAACTACAGTGGAGTGAGTAGGGGGAGTGACTTCATTGTAAATTCTCTCAGACTGCCCTGCCTGGAAAGGTCTCTCTCATACTTGTCTTAAAATAGTGAAACATATAATGTGCTTGTGTTTTAGAGAGACTCTTGTGTCAAGTCTTTAAGAAGTGGAGAATCATTTGTCTCTCTTTCTTAACTGCTTTCTTCAGGATGATGCCCGGCAATTATTTGTTTTGGCGGGCAGTGCTGAAGAAGGAGTCATGACTCCAGAACTAGCAGGAGTGATTAAACGGTTATGGCGAGACGGTGGGGTGCAAGCTTGCTTCAGCAGATCCAGGGAGTATCAGCTCAATGATTCTGCTTCATAGTAAGTAATTTTTCCATAACAGAAAATAATTTGGTGACCCTAAGAAAGTTTAGGGTCTGTCCTTAACAAAACATTTAAGTAACAGACGCTCTTAGAAGTCTATAGCATCCCTTTGAAGATGGTTTCAGTTTAGGGTTATATAGCCCTTGGTCATTTTGTATGACTTGGAGAACAACGTTGCCTCTTGGAATGTAAATGGGAGAATTGGCACCATGAAAAGTAGCTCCATGGTAGTGTATAATAAGGAAGTGAAAGAGGAGAGAAATCTTTTGCAGCTGGATCCTGGATCTTTTCCAGTTCCCTCTGCCTAAGGACTTTGCATTAATTGCCAGCTAGTGAGGGAAATTAGAATTGTGATACCCCTTTTTATGCACCCAACTCTGTGGCCGGGCTGCACTATGGATCTCTCTGGTACCAGTCACCACTAATAAATCTTTTGCCAGATCAAGATAGTAGACTTTGTACAGAAAGAGAATGTTGAGTCTTGGAAGGAAGTCAAAGCATCTGTTTGTCAAGGAAATTCTCTTAAGAGTTACATAGTTTGAGAGAATTTGTAATTAATACTTGAGCAAGGCTATTATATGCTATCCTATCTTGCTTCTTTTACAACATGTTTATTTATAAAGACATATTCAGAATGTACTTTTTAATGTGCCTTTTGGGGACTTGGAGAGTTCTTGGTAACTGTATCTATCTCTGTACTAATTGGGGACACTTTTAAGCATTAAGGTATTTTCTCCAATATTCTATTTTCCTATCCTTCATTCTTGTTTAAGTTGTTATAAGAAGGAGTTAAATTATATTTGAAAAACTTAGTTATTCTTGAAATGAAAACTTTAGAAACATTTCAGGATTCTTGCCCATTTTTAAATATTTTTTAGTTGCATATGTTGGAAGTTTCAATAATTCTCCCAATAGTCATGAAAGCTATATTGTTATTATTTTTTCTATCATACATTCATTAAGCTCTGAATCCTTTAACTACACCAGAGAAATGTGATTTATAGAGGTTTTTTTTTCCATAATATTTGATCTAGGCTTGACTGATTCCTTAACATTAATGGTAGTACTTTTATAGAAGCTTGTTAATGATTCACTTATAATAGTGCCACCTGTTCTTCAGTTTTCTAGCCAAAAAATCTTTAGGAATCCTGAAATTACCAAAAATTTAGTTTAGCTTAAAAAAAATTAATTTAGCTTTGAGCAGTCTTTTAATTATTTCACTGAATAAATTACATTTATTTGGAAGTATTTACAATTTGTTTTTGACTTAGATTAAAAAAAACACAACTTTTCTGTTTCATGAATGAAAGAAAGAAATACTCATTCTTATTGAACATAGTTCTTATTTTAATTTTAGTAATTCAAACACCATTCTCGAATGTCCTATCAAATGTAGGAACATACAAATGACCCATTAACTTTAAATGTCTGAGGGCTTTTGGTTTGGTTTGGTTTTGTACTGTGCAACACACAGTTGATTCAGTATTTAGCATTAAGTTTCAGCAATCTTTTTTTTTCTCCAAGATTTTTTTTTCAAGATTTTTTATATTTAAATAATCTTTACATCCAACATGGGGCTTGAACTCACAACCCCAAGATCAGGAGTCACATGGTCTACTGACTAAGCCAGCCAGGCGCCCCAGAAATCTTTTTATAATAAGAGTAACATTTCCATATTTGTTTGCTTTTAATTGGCCTTCACAGCTTAATTTTGGTAGAATTAAAACCGCTTTTGTGTAGTGTATATAGAACCTACTTCAGTTGTCCTATGCTAGGTTCACTCTTTTTCTCATTATCATTTCTGTGATACTGAAGCTCTGATTTTGTTCTGCCACTTTAGTGACAGGTTCAGAATCTTTTGGGAAGGAACTAGTTTAGTCTGTTGATTTGCTATGTACATGGTTGGCTTCACCAGGTAAAAATAAATGTGTGTTTTATTTAGTTACCTAAATGATTTGGATAGAATATCCCAAACCAACTACATTCCAACTCAGCAAGATGTCCTGCGGACAAGAGTGAAGACCACAGGCATTGTGGAAACGCATTTCACCTTCAAAGACCTATACTTCAAGTAAGTCATTAACCTTTTTGTTACATGTGTGAAAGATATCTTTCCTTTAGTTCATATCTCTTAATCAGGGCAAAATTTCTCTAGGCAATAATCTTTGGTTTAAAAACCTGCCATCATATTCATCAGTTGGTATTTGAATGTTTTAACTGAATGGGGGCCCAGGCCTTTCTTCTTTCTCCAAATAGCATCAAATACTTTTGTCCATTTGGAGGAATTTAAATTCAGAATTAAATTATAAAGAGCAATAAAAGTAATCATACAGTTATCATTTTATTTTATTTTTCATTTTATTCTTTTCAGCTGCTTTTTTGTTGGAATCGTCAAAACAGGTATTGAATGTTTGTTGTTTAGAAGGGTAACAACAATACTAAGGATAGATACTTAGTGATGTGGCTTTGTTCTGCCATTTTGATAATAAAATAGAAATGCTTCACTCACCCGTGTTGATCCTTACCGAAGCGCATTTAGGTTTAATGGAATGGAGCTAATATTGTCATGGTTCTTGGACTGATTTGTGCACAGTATCATGTAAACCAAGTTCTTGCTGTAGTGTAGAATGGAAAATTGATACGGCGATAAAGGTATTTTGGCTAAGTATGATGACATAAAAAGTGGTTGTTATAGAGAGAGAAAATTCTAGTACATGAATACAAAGGACTTTCTCATTAGCATTAGTCATTCTGAAATAGGCTTCGGCTTGTCTCTGTGTTAATGGTCTTTTGTAAATATTAGAACTGTCCTTTTGGTTCCCACTTCCTGCTTTTGTGACCTTTGAGATTAGGGGTAAACTTTTCCCCTTCAATATATATTTGTTCCAGCTGCCTCATTACGATCATATGTGGTCTGTGATTCTCAGCACTGTCGCACACAAATGTAACTTCTAGCTCAGAGCTTCTCCGTGTTCTTTTCTCTGAAAACAGTTGCTTCATAGGATTTGGGAAATCCATACAGAGTTTAGGTATTACTAGATACCACTTGAGGTCTTGAAATCTTAATAAACCAAAACAGGTCAGAAACATGGTGCAGGAAAATAGCAGTTCAGCTGAATATTTGTAGAATAGAAGAGCTGCTTATCTTTAGCACTGATGAATTCATTTAACTGGAGTAGCGGGCCATATGGATTTATATCACCCATGCAACCATAAGAATGAGATGTCTTTTGTGTACTGTAAGATTAGTAATCCATTTATAATTCAATGTGGTGAACTTTATTTAGTATGGGAAACATTCTTGTTGATGTCATAGATTGATCTTTAGTTGGGTAAACCCTTTCGGTCTTCTTATGTCAGGATCAACAACCAGATCTAGTTAAAGTGCTGCACCCATTTTATTGTTGGTATGTAGATATCTTGTTATGAAGTACTATCACTTCTTCCTTTTCCTCTTCTCTCTAGGCAAAACCACTATCCATTTATTCAAACATTTATTGAGCATCTACTCTATGCAAGGCATTGTGTAATTGCTTACTTGCCTCTCAGTTATGAGGTAATGTTTATAAAATGTTGATCTGTTAGTGAATTATATTGTAAATGTTAATATGTGCTAAAAGCCCATCTTGGGAACGTCACAGTATTCTACTAGTTTTATGGACTTTGTAGAAGAAAACGGAGGGGTAAACTGAAATTATTGGTGTACCAGCGTGTGTCTCCCCTTGAAAGACGTCTGTAGTGATATATATGATGTTCACTTTCCTAAAGCCTATAATATGACCCTGTATTAAAGCCAGCTTGTGACTGCATTATTCCAGGTGCCATGACCAAAGGCTGCAAAAAAACCTGCTAGATCAACCAAAAGAAAAGGCTGGGTCATAAAGAGAGAAGATGACTATTATTCTCTTTCAAACATACATTGAGAAATTACTCAGTATGTCTTATTTCTCTCAATCTCCAGGGGAAAATTCTTTGGAAATAGACCTTGAGTCACTTTAGATCTGACATACTAAACCAGCTTGGCAAAGTTTACCTTTTAAAATTTTGTCCTCGTCATCAGACATCTATCTTCACTCATTTGTATGCATACCTCCTCAGACGCTGGTACCAGCTAAAAGACAAAGCACTGCCGGTGTTCCTCTTACTGTAGGAGGTAGACGAGGACACTGTTGACAGAAGTACAGCAGTTGAGCCAGGATATCAAGTAAGACCCCCAGAAGGGAGTGGTGAACTAAAACTAATCTGGAGTGGAACATAAAGTTTGTGAAGAGCTAAGGCTTTGTTGTTATTAATTAGGTTCAAATAAGACGTAGAGTTGGGAAATACTGGTTACGTTTTGTTTTTAGATACTGGGTTCTTAGAATCCTACTCTGAAATATAATTTACTTTTTCCCCATAATTAATCTCTAAAGTAAGGAAAACATATCTCAACCATACCTCAATTAAAAAAAAAAGAAAGTTAAAAAGTAAGGAAAACAAACTTTTTGGAAGCAGAATGCAAGTTGGAGATTTCTGTTTTTTCATTGTTCTCTTTAACTAAAAAGGTAAAGCATTTTGAGGGGTAAGAGCCTGGGTGCTGCAGTTAGAGTGCCTGGGTTTAGAACCCCAGTGCCCATTTGTTAGTAGTGTGCCTTTAAGTACTTAACATACCTGTGCCTCAGTTTCTTCATCTGTGCATTGGAGATAATAGTACTTACAGGAGTGTTGTGAGGGTCAAATGAGTTTAGTGTACTGAAGGTGTTTAGGATCATGTCTGGCACCATGGTAAACAATAAGTATTAGTTCGTATTCTTGTTATTACCTTATATTATTCAGCTCTTCGTTTTTCCTGTCTTTTTTTCCCTTCCTTCCTTTAATCCATTTCAGTGCTTATTCTGCTGACTTTTGGCACGCCTGATACACGCTTTGATAGAGAGGAGGCGCAACTAGTTATCTAAAATGAGAATTTTGATTATTCCTAGATTTTTTCTCATGTTGTTCTCTTTTACTTTTAACCACAGAGGGGCGCCTGGGTGGCTCTGTCGTTAACCACAGAGTATTAGTTTGACTACATTTTATTTGCTCCTTGTTTGTCTTTTCTGTTATAAATGGAGTTTTGAATATGCAATAGTGGGAGGTTCCCTAACCATTTCAGTTTAGGGAGAGCTGTATTTGTGACCTTGCTGAATTGTGCATTCTTTCCCTTTACTTAGGATGTTTGATGTAGGTGGCCAAAGATCAGAACGGAAAAAGTGGATTCACTGTTTTGAGGGAGTGACAGCAATTATCTTCTGTGTGGCCCTCAGTGATTATGACCTTGTTCTGGCTGAGGATGAGGAGATGGTATGTTGGATCTTCTGGTAAAAAACCTGTTTAATGCAGCCGGGAAGTGGAAAACAACTTTTAGGAAGATTTTTTGTATCCATTTGCTCATTGAACCAAATCTTGGTTCCTTAATTTTTTCCCCTGTGAGATTAGACTTTTAAAATATTGATCTGTGCCCTACTAATTCTTAAGAGATAAGACAGTGCATTGAGTATGTGAGCAGGATTAAGTCCTCTTGTTAGCCAGTCTTCTTCCCATCTCCCAACCTCCAAGAATTACGAAAATGAGGACTGACTTAGCTTTTGTGTTATCAGTGTCTAGCTTATTTCCACGCGTGCCATTCAGTGCTTCTAAAACTTGGTCTGTTTTTTTCATTAACAGTTCATCCACTTTTACTTTTTACTATTGACACCCCTTTTTTCCCCCCTCAGAACCGAATGCATGAAAGCATGAAACTGTTTGACAGCATTTGTAACAACAAATGGTTTACAGACACTTCAATCATTCTCTTCCTCAACAAGAAAGACCTTTTTGAGGAAAAAATAAAGAGGAGTCCATTAACTATCTGTTATCCAGAATACACGGGTAAGGAATCATGAACGATTTTCTTTGAGGTACACATCGTAGATCAATACTTAGTGACATTCCTACACCTGCCTTTTATTTTGAACGATGCATGTATATCCTTATGGAGAGTGTTCACTGGTAGTGGTATTAACATTAAGCATGTGATTAAGATCCCTTAAGTCTAAAGTGCTATTCCAGACATAATCGAGTTTACTGTGTTTATTTTGTATTTCTGTCCTCATTTTTTGAGTAAAATAGAGAAATATAAAATCAAAATTTGGTGTATGTATGTTCAAAAAAATACAAGGATAAGGTGCAGTCATTGATCACTTAAGACACAGTAGTTGTAAAGAGAGGGACACACACATAAAGAATTTCATTATAGTAGGAAATGTTCACTAACAGAAGAAGGGGATACTGCTGTGGGTTCAGTGTCCTCTTCTTTCTAGAGGAAATGACACTTGGAGTGAGATAATGAGAGGACGAATTAGAAATCACCAGGCAAACAGAGGATTAAAAGCATTTTAGGAGGAAGGGATAGCATATATGAAAATGACATGAGGGGTGCCTGGGTGGCTCAGTCAGTTGAGTGTCCAACTCTTTTTTTTTTTTTTTAAGATTTATTTATTTATTTATTTGAGAGAGAATGAGAGACAGAGAGCATGAGAGGGAGGAGGGTCAGAGGGCGAAGCAGACTCCCTGCCGAGCAGGGAGCCCGATGCGGGACTCGATCCCGGGACTCCAGGATCATGACCTGAACCGAACGCAGTCGCTTAACCAACTGAGCCACCCAGGCGCCCCTGAGTGTCCAACTCTTGATTTCAGCTCAGTTCTTGATCTCAGGGTCATGAGTTCAGGCCCCACATTTATTAAAAAAAAAAAAAAAAAGATTGTAAAAAAAATATGACACGATAGGTTTTGGAACCTAGAAGGAATTTGGTATTGCCAGAGCTTAATGTGGTGGGAAGGAGTCATTGGAGTGATGGGCAGGGATGTTCATGGATGCTGAGATAGTGGGGAGCTATTGAAGGATTTTGATTGGGGTACATGATGTAGTAGAAACTGTATTTTAGAAAGATACACGATAGGGGCGTCTGGGTGGCTTAGTCATTAAGCGTCTGTCTTCGGTTCAGGTCATGATCCCAGGGTCCTGGGATCGAGCCCCGCATCGGGCTCTGTGCTCAGTGGGAAGCCTGCTGCTCCCTCTCCCACTCCCCCTGCTTGTGTTCCCTCTCTCCCTGTTTCTCTCTCTGTCAAAAAATAAAATCTTAAAAAACAAAACACGAATGTGTTTAGAACTAGGAAATAGAAAGCTGTCAAGGACCCTAGAAGCACTTCTTTCCCCGTCTCTTTTCTCTTCTTCTTTGTGTGCATCTTCTTTATTCTTCTCTCTCTGCTTAACAACTTTCTGTGCTACTCAGTTTATGTGATACAAGATGGCCCTGCCACAGTATCTCTCCTGCATTTAAAAGACCAGGTTAGGGGCACCTGGTTGGCTTAGTCAGTAGAGCATGTGACTCTTGATCTCAGTGTTGTAAGTTTGAGCCCCACATTGGGTGTAGAGATTACTTAGAAATAAACTCTTAAAAAATCGGGGCGCCTGGGTGGCTCAGTCGGTTAAGCGTCTGCCTTCGGCTCAGGTCATGATCCCAGGGTGTCCTGGGATTGAGGCACACGTTGGGCTCCCTGCTCAGCGGGAAGCCTGCTTCTCCCTCTCCCACTCCCTCTGCTTATGTTCGGTCCTTTCTCTGTCTCTCTCTGTCAAATAAATAAATCTTTAACAAAAAAATCTTAAAAAATAAAATAAAGACCAGGCTACGCTGATGCTGGTTGGCCCCAGGTTCAAATTACTAGGAGAGAGATGCTGGCCAAGGTTAAGGCAGGCAAAAATCCTTAGCCTTGTCAGTCAAGCTCAGGGACACAAACATGAATGCCAGGGCTGCACCACTATAACCTTTAGATCAGAGTTGGATATTTTCAGGGAAGGAGAACTCTTGTTAGCTGGGCAGACACTGTAAAGCTTTCTGTAATAAAGCGAAAGAGTATAGCTAGGGTGAGGAAGTGGGAAGAGTACTACCAGAGTTCTGCCTTGATTGGCTGCTGGTGCTGTGATCTGAAGTGATATTTAGAAATGTTGATTTTTTAATCAGAGAAAGACTATTATCATATGATCTCACTGTTAGGAGGAATTTGAGAAAGAAGATAGAGGATCATAGGGGAAGGGAGAGAAAAATGAAGCAAGATGAAATCAGAGGGGGAGACAAACCACAAGAGACTCTTAATCTCAGGAAACAAACTGAGGGTTGCTGGAGTGGAGGGGGTGGGAGGGATGGGGTGGCTGGGGGATGGACATTGGGGAGGGGTATGTGCTATGGTGAGCGCTATGAATTGTGTAAGACTGATGAATCACAGACCTGTACCCCTGAAACAAATAAAACATTATATGTTAATTAAAATAAAGAAAGGAAGAAAGAAGGAAAAAAAGAAAAAGAAATGTTGATTTTTGAAGCATCTGTGGAACATCCAGATGAAGGTATCTAAAAGGAAGATACATATGTGGCCTTGGAGCTTTATGAGAGATTGAGGGTTAGCTGTATTGATTTGAGATCATGTATAAAAACAGTATGGAAATGGATGAGATGACGTGGGGTGATGTTACAGAATGAGGACAGAAAAGACCATGGATAGAATGAGAGAGAATACCAGATTCTATTGGCAGGAGAGAAAGAAAGGTTTATATTGGATACAAAGAGAATAACCAGGAGAGCCAAAGTATCAAAAAACTAAGAAATTTAGAAGTGAGGGGTGGTCAGTGATGTTGTGTGCAGACAAAGTAAGCTACACATTGAAAAATGGCCTCTGGAATTAGCAGTCCAGGAGATCGTGAGTGTTATTGAGGGCATTATCAGTGAGAGCAGAGCCAGGGCAGTGAGTTACTGAGTGGGAAGTAGAAAAATCAAGACAGGTGTAGCCTACTCTTGAGCAGCTTGGATTACAGGGAAAAGAAAGATTTAAGAATGTTCACTGGCTTAGTGGTAAGATTTTATAGCAAAAGAGAAGTTGTAAGAAGTGGATATAATTGATGGAGCAAGATTTGTAAGCAGATGGAATTCCATCCATTGGAATATTACTCACCCATAAAAAGGAACGAAGTACTGACACATGCTCCTACTGTATGAACCTCATAAATGTTATGCCAAGTGAAAGAAGCCAAACACAAAAGGTCACATTTGTGTGATTGCTTTTATGTGATATACCCCAAATAGGCAAATCCATAGAGACAGAGAGCAGGTTGGTTGGTGGTTACCAACCAGGAGGGGGGATGGTCAGAATGAGGGGAATGAGGAATGATTACTTAATGGGAATGGGGTGTTTTTCTGGGTTGGTGAAAAATTTTGAAACTAGAGAGAAGTGGTGTTTGCATAACATTGTGAATATACTAAATGCCACTGTATTGTACACATTAAAATGTCTTATTGAATGTTACATAAATTTCACCTCAACTTAGAATCTTGGTAGAGGAATTAAATTTTGAAACTGGAAGGAAGACCTCTCTAAGACCAAAGGTACAAATATGTGGGGATATAGGTGACTTCTAAGTGAGGTGGTAGGCTCAAGAGTTGAGATGTAGTAAGCCCCCTGGTCTTTGTTTTCTCAGGGATATGTGGCCAGGGTTGGGAATGGTGAGTTCATAGAAAGTGGCCAGGTTTTAAAGTGGAGAAAAAGCTTACTTAGGCAAAAGGATTGACAGTGTTCTTCTCACTGGGAATCTTCCACATAGCAAAGAGCTCTCAATGTCATATCCTTTTTTGGGGGGTTGGGGGACGACCTTCTAAGCCATTGACTTCATTCTTCTTTTAAGAAGTCGCACATCTGGGGCGCCTGGGTGGCTCCGTCCTTAAGCATCTGCCTTCGGCTCAGGTTATGATCCCCGGGTCCTGGGATCGAGCCCCTCATTAGGCTTTGTGCTCGGCAGGAAGCCTGCTTTTCCCTCTCCCGCTCCCCCTGCTTATGTTCCCTCTCTTGCTGTGTCTCTGTCAAATAAATAAATAAAATCTTTTTTAAAAAAAGAAGAAGTCGTCTCACAGTCTTCATTGCCCAAGTATCAGTATTTGTTCCTACCAGACACAATTCTCAGTGCTCTCTCTCCTTGAATTTACAGAAGTTCTGCCAATCTCAGAAAACCTATTTCAAGCACCTACCAAGCTATCTTCCTTTATTTCTCTAAGTAGTCTGTTTAAAAATAACATTCTTTTCTTTCTTAAGCTTTTCTTTATTTAGTCTTTTTTTAAACACTTAATTGGTATTTGTTGTCATGCTTAATGTCACTTAATTTCACAGATGTTACTTGGTGAAAACAGCCTCTAGTTTACAGGAATAAAGTCTTGCGTTTTCTTTGTTGAGGTTTCCTGGTTCTGTAGTCAATTTCTAGGGCTATTCGGAAGGCTCACAGGTAGAGGAGATGATGTGGGAAGTTTGTGGTTTAGAGTGTTAATTACAAATATTGAAAATAAGGTTTACTTTTGAGACACCCCACCTTTAAAAAATAATAGCTTTGGGGCACCTGGGTGCCTCAGTCAGTTAATCGGCTGTCTTCGGCTCAGATTATGATCCCAGGGTCCTGGGATCGAGCCCCATGTCAGGGTACTTGCTCTGCAAGGAGTCTGCTTCTCCCTCCCTCTGCCTGCTGCTCTTCTGCCTACTTGTGCTTGCTCTGTGTCTGTCAAATAAATAAATAAAATCTTAAAAAAAAAATAGCTTTATTGAGATGTAATTTATATGTCACAAAAACACATTTTATTTATTTTTATAAAAACACATTTTAAAGTGTGTAATTCAGGCCCCTTTCCCTTTTACATGTACTTGTTTAATTATAAGGCTCTGAAGTAAGCCCCCTTAAAATTGATATGCTTTTGAAAAGAAGCATGATTAACTCTTGAATTGTTTATTTCAAGATCACTCCAAGGAGCACAGGCTCTCTGACCTTGTAAACAGTTGTGTTCTAGCAATGCATCTTCCTACTTCTCTAGTTTCCTTTTATACATTCTAGGTTTTTTAGCTGAAAAATCAAAATGAAAGGAGAAAAAGTTTTGTTTCCCTAGATCTTTTTCTGTGATGATTTTGTTTTACTTAGAGTCTGCTCTCAAGAAAAATCTAATGATTATAGAAAAACTTAATGATTATAGAAATAAATCTGTCTTATATTCTTTTGGGTTATATTCCCTGTCTTCATAAGTAAATGGTGATGGCCTGACCTGGTTGAATTCAGGCAGCTTTTACAATTCGAACTGAGAATATTGGGTGTCTGCTTCAGGTTCCAATACATACGAAGAAGCAGCTGCTTATATTCAGTGCCAGTTTGAAGATCTGAACAGAAGAAAAGATACGAAGGAGATCTATACCCACTTCACCTGTGCCACAGACACCAAGAATGTGCAGTTTGTTTTTGATGCTGTTACAGATGTCATCATTAAAAACAACTTAAAGGAATGTGGACTGTACTGAAGAGGGTCGGATGTTAATAAAAGGTAAAACTTCAGGATAACTTAGTTCTAGTGCTGTAGTGGTATCTCTTGACTTCGTAAACTTTTCTAATTAAGAATGTTCTTTTTTTCTAGTTATTACAGTGTGGAGTGTTGAGACCAGACTTCTTTTGCTGTCTCATTGGGCAGCCCCAAGCATGAACGGGACCAGGGAATGGCAGCAGCATGCAGAATCTTAGCACTCTTTAGCACAATCTTCTGTATTAGGGAACTCTTAATTGACACGAGATGCTAAAGTCAAACATTGGAATTGGAACAGCTGTAAAGTATGATTCGATCATCAAGACATCACTTGGATTTCATAATCTCAAACGTTTAGGGCCGATGTGAAGTTGAGGTGCTGCATTCCAGAACTTTAATATGTAGCTTACTCTTTTTTTCCTTCTTAACAAACCACCAGTAGTTCATTTTTAAAGTTTTTTTTTTTTTTCATCAGGAGAATAACATGACTAAATTTTATTTCTTTGCAAAAGAATCTTTATTAAAACACAATCTTAACTATGCACATGATGTGGCCAGATCATCTTGAAAATTTTCCTCTTAGTAGGAACTCTTTGTTTTTAGCTTTTGGTATGGTCAGAACATAATACTTCCATAATTACTTAATTCTTTATGGTTATTGGGGCTATGATTATAGCTTTTTTGGATGAAATTTATGTTACTCTCCTGTTCAAAGTACCATTATGGTTTCTAAATGGTAATGACATTGGAGAGTTCTGTAATAAGATTCTAGCTCTCTAACTTTTGTTTAAGCTTATGGTTTAAGGTTAACCTGGTTTATGCTGATTACCAAATTACTAGGTAAATGCTGATGTAGTATGTAAAGCTAACTTCTTGGATACAGACACACCCAGGGCAGCTGTCGATTAGAAATGCAAATTGCTAAAATCCAAACAGAAACAGTGACTTTGCTGCTACAGATCTTCTAAATTGACCCCTTTGGTTCTTGCTTGTTTGTCTCAGTCATAGGGAGTTCTGTAAAAGATGCCCCTTGTTTTCCATCTTCCATGGCCTTTTCTGTTGGGAAACATCTCAAGTGTATTAACAATGCATGCTTTTACTTTGTAAATGTGGTGCCAAATCCCTGTTTGCCATTGTTTTTATTGTAGCAATGTTAATTGTAGTAATCCTTAGTCAGTACCTTCTTTTGCCGAAACTATTGCATTTTGGGACTTTTTCCACTATGTTGTGTGTACAGATTTTAATCTGTTATAGTTGGCAGCAGTATTAAAATGGTGAGTAAAGAGTCCAGGTTTGTTCCTGTTTGTAACTAGACCTTTCTGGAAATATTTTCTTCTGTTTCTTTTTGTCCCTGCTGAATGTGCTTTGGCCTTTGTCTGAGACTGGGTTTAGGTAGAGGGTTCCCTGAAGGGCTAGTCTTTTGGTGTAATGGTATTGTTGAATCTTGGCCTGACTGAGGGTCTTATGTCCTATCTGTGTAAGTGACATGCAGTCATAATCCATTTTCCAGGTTTACATTTTGGTTTTGTGGAGAGCTTTATTCACCTCAGCCTGCAGTCCTTTTGTATACTGTACAGCAATTGTCCTTAAATACTGAATGGGCCTTTGGGGGAAGGCAAATGAAGAGAATGCATTTTGAGCATTCCAAATCAGCAGTTTGAGCAGTGCCTTTGGGGTCCAGTCTTTTTGGATTGGATTCTGTGTCATCTTTTGATGTAACCTTTTACTAGTTTAAAACAAAACAAAAAGGTTGGTGGTCATCAAAGCTGGTTCAGAAAGCAAGCCACAGCAGTTCAGTGCCTTTATTGGAATTTTTTTTCTTACTCTTTTTGGAAAAGTATAACTATGCAGATGGTATAACTGTTATTGTCTAAACAGTTTTTTATTTTTTAGGGTTGGGAAAACTGGATCTAAAAGAAAATGATCAGCTTCAATTGGTGATTAACTTATGCCCACATAAGTTGATAGTTCTTGTTCATTTTGAATATATCTTTTCCTTATTGTATTCTTTGATATAGGATCATCTGGAAATGAGAACTGGTGGAATATTGTTTTAACTGTAGTCTTTCTATAGTCAGGGCTAATGGGATGGTATTGTTGATAATCCAAAATAACAAATAATCTAAGTAAGTTAATTATACTTTGAAATGCATTTTGTATTTTCATTTGAATACGTCTGTCTGTTATGTTCATCTTTTAGCTTTTCTGTTAATGAAAAATAGTAGTTCTCCACTTTTCTGCCTTTATACCATTTACCTTTGTTCTGTATTTACATGAAGATCACCCCCTATCCTACTACCATTCCATGTAACTTACTTAAATGCACATTTCTTGAGGACACAGGGACACAATTCAAGTCAGTGGTTTTCAAGTATGCCTTAAGTCAAAATCACCAGGATCCATCTCAACAATTAACTCTTGGCCGGTGGGCTAGTGATCTATAGTTTTAAAAAGGTGATTCTGATCATCAGCTTTGCAAATCCCTGTTGTATTTTGAAATAAAAGATCTTTTCTCATAGCAGAGCCAGAGTGCGGGGGTTAAACATCATGTGTATTAGCCTGGAGAAAAAGGATTGATATTTGTAATCAAAGAAACTAAAAGTTGCCTTGTATCTTTTCTGCAGAGAATGCTGGAGGTTTGTGATGGACCACATTTCAGTATTCATGTGGCCAGGCCTTGGACCATCTAAGAAACCAGCACATATAAGAAAATTAAATTTTAATGAATAAAGAACAGTAAATAGACCCTAGTAGGAAGGACTACAACAATAGCTTTATTTTGTTGACAGTCACATCTTCACCTGATTAAAACCTTGGGCTGTAAGAAAAATGCCATTCATTAGGCTCTATGTAAAGAGGAAGTATTCTCCTTAATGGCCATTCTTCCCCAACCATATAATTCAGACTTGCAAAAGATTTCATCTCCTGGCATGAAAATTCCAAGAAGTTTTACAGTTACTCAAAGTGAATCTTGGGATGACATTTCATCTAGGACAGTTTGAATTCTAAATCTCTAGTTGAGTGTGTCATTTTATTATTTCCAGTGATGGATTGTTCTTTTTTTAAAAGGTGCTGCATTCTAAGAATAGATGGACCAAATTTTAAAAACTATCTTCTTGCTTTGTTTCTTATTCTCTTACATGTTCTATTGTGTTTTATTACATGCACATTATTTAGAGTATTTAAAAATAACTGCTGGTTCTTCTAATTCATTTGCCCACCTTATATTCTTTTTTTTTTTTTTAAAGATTTATTTATTTATTTGAGAGAGCGAGAATGAGAGAGAGAGAGAGAGTACATGAGAGGGGGGAGGGTTAGAGGGAGAAGCAGGCTCCTCGCCGAGCAGGGAGCCCAATGCAGGACTCGATCCAGGGACTCCAGGATCATGACCTGAGCCGAAGGCAGTCGCTTAACCGACTGAGCCACCCAGGCGCCCTGCCCACCTTATATTCTTATATCCTGGCCACTCTTCTCCGATTTGCAGCTGTGACTTTCTTTGGATATTGCTTACTAGCCTGACTAGTTCTTCATGTATGTATACATTTGTTTAGCCTTCTGGAGCGTCCTGTTGCAGAACTGGTTGCTGTATTGGCAGTTACATATAAGGTAAAGTTAGTCTTTCCCTCCAATTAAAAACCTACCTTTGATTGATCTTTTTCCCCTTCCAGATGTTCAGAAAACCACAGTCCTCTACTCATTTAAACATACCTAAAACAACACTAATTTTCTTCACTCTTACTGCTTGTGAAATCCTTCATATCTTATACTGGCTTTAAGAACAAAGTTATTTCAGTTTCCCAGTACTGCCAGGTCATTTTTGTGTTCTTCTTCAGGCTTCATAATAGAAGTCAGAGATCTGACCTGGACCAGCCACAGCTCTCCACATAGCTTTATGGCTGGCTGAGCACAAAAGCACACCAGGCTGCTTTGAGGCCTGAAATTGAAAGTTGGTCTTGCTGTCAACCATCCGGAAGTAAAAGATTTAGGTGAGGTGAGGCACTGGGGAACAAACTTTCTGGATGGTCAGGATGTTTGTTCCTTTACCTTTGTTTAGTTTTTAACTCCCCCACCCACCCACCCCCATTTTTTCATAACTTGCATGAGTTACTTCTGCTAGGACTCCCGGACAAGTCAAGACAGGACAGTTTTTTTCTGATACTATGTCAGGCTTACATACCTGGCTTGACTCAAGTCTTCTTAGGCATGAAAGATAATACAGAAGGTTATAATAGCAGTAGATACCTGAGGTGCATGATTAACATGCAGATTCCCTGGCTAAACTCTACTAAATTGAGATGTTGGAGACAGGTCCCGAGAACATGTATTTTTAAATAAACTCCTGCGTGGTTCTGGTGAAGCTAACCTGGGTCAACATTTGCAGACAACTGAATAGGACCTTATGTTAAAGATCAACAGAAATAGGGGTCCCTGGGTGGCTCAGTCACTTAAGCATCAGACTCTTGGTTTCGGCTCAGGTTATGGCCTCAGGGTTGAGAGATCAAGCCCCACTCAGAGACTGCTTGAGATTCTCTCTCCCTCCTTTCCTCCTTCCCCAAAAAAACAAACGAATAAATAAATCTTTTTTAAAAAAGATCAACATAAATAGTAGACATATAACCTTAAAAGTCACTAGTAAACGATTGAGGTATTTTTTATTTGCCAATAAATATGAAGTACCTTTTGTACATGACTTAGAGTGCCTTTCACCAAAAAAATTAGTAAGAACTGTTAGTCAAAGAACATTCCTACACTTTTGATACAGAGTATTTAGTTTTTATACAAAATTAAGACAAAACAAGAAACGTGGAGTTTCCAAACATTTGTTTCATTTGTGTTACTGCATTTATTCAGTGAAAATTGAAAGAAACATCAAAGATAAAATCCCATGATAGAGGTCTAGCTATATATATGTAATAACCTGAATATTTATTTACAGTTGGTGGATAAAGAGCAAAGCTAGCTAGCTCTAAATTATAGACTGGAAAGTCTTTTTGAGACAAGGCTGGGGAAGGGGTAGGTAAGGGGAATGATTGTGGAGTCAAATAGAAAAGTCTTTGTATGCTTGCTGCTAATGTTTCCCTGAAATCTAGTGGGAATCAACAAGGTAGCAGAAATAATCCAGTATTAGTAAATACGCTGCTGGGATACTCAAATGTATTAGCATCCAGATGTAAGATAACTTTGACAGGTGGAATATTAAATTCTGTAAAGTGTGGTTTATCTTTCTCCTATCCTCTACTACCCCCCCCCCACTCCTGCCCCCATATTCCTTATCATTATCCAAACATGTTTACCTAGAGGCTTGTTTAAATGTAAGTTTCCCAGCAGACCTAACAAATCACAAGAAATTAACTGTTCTTTTTAACTCTTCATTTTTGCTCATGGAGGATAAAGGTCCTGAGACCTCTCAGAATCTTGAGAGAGCTGTTTGTCACACCCAGTTCTAGTCTTTTCCTTGCTTCCAACCACCTATGAAATCTTTCTCTTAAATCCTCATCTGTTACCTAAAGGTAGACTAAATTATTCCTTCTAGCTATGATGTACTATGGTTGTGATCCAGTTGAAATAACATACTTAAAGTGCTTTGTAAATACTCTTTATAATACTCAAGATGATACTGTACTGCAAAACAAGTAATCTTTTAAGGCAATACCAACAAATGTATTCATTGTAGCCGGCGGTCTTCTCAGCATCACTTTTGCCATACTCATTTTGAACGCCTGAGATGAAGTTTAACTATAAATGGCTCTGAAATTTGTCAAGGCGGGGTGAAAAGAAAGGTCTTTGCTTTGTTTTGTGTTTAAATCCAGTTCTTTATTTCTGTTCATACTAGTGCTTGCTTTTTCATGGCCAAAAGGCAGAAACTCTGCACTGTGTCTGTTGGACCTCACAGGAATGTCTTCATGCTTTTACCTAGCAGGAACACCAGAGGCTGAGGCACACTTGCAGTCCCTGGGCCAACACTGAAGTCCTTCTGGAATCTGTGCTCCGGGGGCTGTGCCGGGTAGAGAGGGCAGTGGGAGGTAAGAGCTCTTCACCCTTCACCACCTTCTCCACCCAGCATGGCCAGCACACTTTGGTCTACGGCACATCTCCAATGATAGAGTGGGTTTTGAATGCTGTTACTTCTTACCTTGGGGATGGGGCTACCCTGATTTGGACTATATGGGGTATATGTAAGTGAACTTTTTATCACAGTAGGAACTGTTAAAGTAAATGTGTCTTTTATATTGCTTTTAAGACTGAGTTTTTGTGCTGCTTTTACCCACAGAACATAAAAGCACATTTCCAATTACATTGTATTTTTTCCACTATTTTTTTTATTGTGGTGAACCATACATAACATAAACTTCACCATCTTACTCATTTTTAAGTACATAGTTCAGTGGTCTGAAGTACATTCACAGTGTGGCACAGCTATCACCACCATCCATCTCCAGAACTTTTTTCACCTTCCCAGATTGCAGCTCTGTACCCATTACACACTAACTCCCCATTCCCCCTCCTCCCAGCCCCGGTAACTCACTGTACTTTGTCTTTATACATTTGACTACTATGATACTTGATATAAGTGAAAAATCATACAATATTTGTCCTTTTGTGTTAATCCTAACTGTATTTTTGTAGAAAAAGAAAAGCAACTGTCATCAGATTCTCAAGAAGTGGAACCTAATTCACATTTGGCTTACTGTCATCAGTGTCCAGTGCACTGCAAGGGAATTGCATTCAGATCTCTGCCCTCTGAGGATATGAACAGAAAATTAATTACACCTTCAACAAACAAACTTAAAGCTATTTATATTTTTGTTTTATGCTAAATTCACAGTCAAATTTGAGGCTGATTTGTATTCAGTTTGGAGAGGATACTGTTAAATATCTATGATTTAGGATGGCATAATTTAAAATAACCAAAATTGGTTGGGAATGGGAAGAGGTTAGGGAAATGAGAAAATTGACTTTGACTTTATAGTATATGGTGGGCTTTCAGTAGCATGGTGCATATATAGAACACTGGCTTGGGATTCAGAAGACCTGTTTTGGAGTTCTAGTTCTCCGACTTCCTAGCAGTTTGATTTTGAAGCCATTCCACGTCTCTGGGCCTCAGTTTCTTATCTATAAATTGCTAGTGAATAGTCCAGTGCCTGGACTATTTTAAAATTCCTTCTAGTTTTATCATTTTAAGAATTAAGATTGCAGTTCATGAAAATAGGGTTGAACTGGGGCGCCTGGGTGGCTCAGTTGGTTAAGCGACTGCCTTCGGCTCAGGTCATGATCCTGGAGTCCCTGGATCGAGTCCCGCATCGGGCTCCCTGTTCAGCAGGGAGTCTGCTTCTCCCTCTGACCCTCCTCCCTCTCATGCTCTCTGTCTCTCATTCTCTCTGTCTCAAATAAATAAATAAAATCTTTAAAAAAAAAAAAAAAATATCCTACTGGGACTATAACTCAACAAAAAAAAAACAAACCAAATTAAAAATGGTTAAAGGACTTGAATAGACATTTCTCTAAAGAAAATACACAAATGGGCTCCTGGGTGGCTCAGTTGGTTAAGCGACTGCCTTCGGCTCAGGTCATGATCCCGGAGTCCCGGGATCGAGTCCCGCATCGGGCTCCCTGCTCAGCAGGGAGTCTGCTTCTCCCTCTGACCCTCCTCCCTCTCATGTTCTCTGTCTCTCATTCTTTCTGTCTCAAATAAATAAATAAAATCTTAAAAAAAAAAAAAAATAGGCTTGAACTGGTTCTGACCTACCTCGTTACAAAAAAGAATTTCTGGTGATGCATAAGATTCAGCATTATAGTGTAAATTTAAAATGAAGCAAAAACAAAAGCTAAAGATAACAGAGTGAGTAGAATACCAGAAGGTGAGACCTACTGGCTCTGTTTTCATGCTAGGACTAGAGGGGCTGGTTCTATATGAACATCTATAACCAAGAAGCCTGGGGTGGGCTCTCATAGTTTGGCCTATAACCAATTCCTGCCTGGAGTCAAAGATCAAGGAAAAGATAATGAAAGAAGCAAACAATCTGGTACAATTTGTGGGGAGGTTGGGCTACCCTAATTGAAGATCGAATAAGTGAGATACATTAGATTTAGGGCCTGAATAGACAAGATCTTAGCCAAAGTGAGGATTCTTAACCTGGGGCTTCAGGGCTCCAAAGATAGAACTGTATTCCTAGTATGTTGGTTTCCCTTGTAATTCTCTGAATTTTATTTTATGCATTTTTAAATATTCTTAGAAGAGGTCCAGAGGTTTCATCAGACTGTTGGAGGGATCCGTGATACAAAAAAAAGAATCCTAACCCTTGTATATTGAGTTAAAGAAATAGGTTAGTGATAGTTGGAATATGCCATTTAGAATGTAGTCCCTGAACAGCTCTTGCATGCATGGAGTCTTGCCCAGGTTTTTCCTTTGGTGAAGTTTTTTAATCAGCAATAGTCAGAGTACTTTCCCTTATTTCTCTGGTAATTCTCTCAAGTTGATTTCTTTTCATGGAATCAGACTATTAAATGAATCCAATTTTAACAGCTGCAAATTTATTCTTCAATGTATTTCAAGCTCATATGGCTCTCTAGTATCAATATTGCTAGTAGCAGCCTAAGTGTGAATATGTGTTTCTGGCAAGGAGCAGATTTTCATTTTAATTGACACTTTCTTTTATATACTAAATCTTGGATGCCAAGAGCTTTCCTCACTGGTAGTTGTAAATGCTAAATCTGTACTTGACTTCACCACGTCCTGTCAGGATAAATGAAAGCTTCGTTTCCCCTCAGAGGAGTTCAAAGAAATCATTTACTTGTTGTCCTGTATGGGGAGATACTGTTTTCAGCCAGGCACCACATGGATTCAGCCGCAGAGATTTTTAGTGCCTAAAGCAAGATCAGCTGCCTTTTTTTGTTCTGAAACATGTAGCAGTTGAAATGGGAATTTTAGCTTTGCTTACGTACTCTAAATTCTGTGATTGAGGGGTGCCTGGCTGGCTCAGTTGGTAGAACATGCAGCTCTTGATCTCGGGGCTGTGAGTTCGAGCCCCACGTTGGGTGTAGAGATTGCTTAAATAAATACACTTAGAAAAAAAAATAATTCTGTGATCGAGAAGTGGTAGCAATGAAATCATTAATACTCTTAAGTGGGAGTGTGTTGAAGTCTTCCAAGTTTATTCAGAAAGTGTCTTGTATACCTGAGGGTGGGCACCTGGGAGGCTCAGTCGGTTAAGCATCTGACTCTTGGATCTCAGCTCAGGTCTCAATCTCAGGGTTGTGAGTTCAAGCCCCACATTGGGGTCCACGCTGGGCATGGAGCCTACTTAAAAAAAAAAAGTGTCTTTTATACCTGAGACAGTTACTTACAGAGAGATGGCAGTTGGGCGGCTTGCAGAGGGATAGTCTGTTTAATAAAGATGATCGGTTTTGGATGTGTACCTTAGAAACTTACATCTCCAATCCAGTGATTCAGATCTCTGAGCTAAGGTACAGAGAGTCTGTAAAAGATGGTGGTAGGTTTATTGAGGTCTTGTTTTTAATTGTTTATTTTGCAGAACGTGGGGAAGGTTTGCTGCTTTCCTTGGATAGTTCATCTAAAAATTTTGTTTTGAATTTCCTAAGTGGCTGCTTTTATATAGGATTTCTTTCTGTGACTCTAACCACACAGCTTTTATGCGCCTTCCCTTCAGTTTATGTTTGTGATCATTAGAATAACCTTGTGAAGTAGTAGTTATCTTTATAGATGAGTGACTCAAGGCTCAGAGAAATGAAATACTTAAACGTTTTAGTAAGTTCAAGAACCAGTAGTGGCACCTGGGTCTTCTGACTCCTGGCCTTGTGCTCTTTAAACTGCACTAGCTATCCCACTTCGAAAAGAATATACGGGACACAGTTGCAATCATGTATAAGTCCATCTCTAAAGGAGAATGGATTCACTCTTCATGCCATGGTATATTGATCTATGCTTTTCTGCTTGAAATTAGCCAGATTCCAAGCCTGGTTATCGGATGTGTACTTGAAGAGTGATAAGAATTAAAAGAGCCCACAGTCCTTGAGATTTTCTTTGATGATGATATCTGTAACTGCATCAAATACAAATTTGACATTCTGCGTGTCTGTAGCACAGGTCATGTGACTGTAGATTTCTTTGACATCTTTTCGCATGTTGAGGTCAAGGAATTGACTCTTGATGTAATTCCCTGCATCTTCATAAGAGTTGTTTCCTGGTTTCCCAGAAAAAATAGTGAAGAAGTGGGATAAATGAACCCTTCTTAGCTGCTCACTTACTTTTTACATGACCAATTTGATCCTCAAAATGTGTTGGACAGCTGCAGTTGGGGGCCTGTTTTTAGAGGGAGGGTCCTCTCCTTTATTGTACTCCAGTGTTTATCACTTGAGTTGAACAACGAAATTGAGGAGAGGGATCTCTGTGTCCCCACCCTTGATTTCTGTTAGGTATCATTTGAACAGTCGGTGGCTCTCCTGCATCTAACATCTGTTCTGTTCCAGGGACATCTGAATTTAAACCTATGACTGAATACCCAAGTTTCTCAGATTAGACATCCAAGTATCAGTTGGACATCACAAAGCTCATAAGAGTAACTGAGTATTAAAGGGATAAGGGATCATCAAACCCAGCAAAGCAAAGGAGTTACACTTAGTACTCCTTAAAGACAGGTTCCTTCGTGTCTCCTTGGTATAGGAAATGAGGCAATCACCAGTCATTACCAAGAAATCATTACCATTGTCTCCAGCCCTTGACACTTACCGTCATACTCTGGAAAACAAATGCTGAGATGGACTTTCTTGATTTTGTCCTCAAAGAGGTCCTTCTTATTGAGAAAGAGGACAATGGAAGTAGCCGCAAAGAACTTGTGGTTACATATGCTGTTGAAGAGGTGCAGTGACTCATGCATACGATTCTAGTAGGAGGAAACACCATCAGAGATTTCAGATTGAGCTGATGGGGTGTTGTCTACTTCCTGTTCTTGATCCCCTTTGAGAGACTAGTGCTCCGAATGTAAGAGGAACAGCTTATCTCCTTTTGGTGTGGTGGGATAGAGCCCAAGAGATACAGCTGCCCTTCTAATCTTCGTTCTGTCATAGCTGTGTGACTTGGGGCAGATTACTGAGCTTTTCTGAGTTTCCATTTCCCTATCTCATAGGGTTATTATGGAAGTTCGATGGGATCATGTATGTAGGGTCCATGATAGTGGCTGGCGTATAGGTGTACAATAAATGTTATGCTGAGCTTAGGCTGCCAGGGCACTGCGAGGAACTTCGATGCCCGTAAGTGCTGCTGATAGACGGTTGAAACTAAGCCTGAGTTATGTGCCCGTTTGTGTCTCCAGGATGATTTTTTTTCCCAGGATGACTTTGCTAGGCTTCTGTTACAGAGTCCTGGATCTCAGTTTGGGTGGGAACATAATAGGGATTATTGCCTTGGGGTCAAATGGTGAGGGCTAGAGAATTTCTCAGTGCCACACCACAAGCACTTCTGCTTTATTTCCTCCTCTGATTGCCACTCTGAGTGAGTGAGAAGTGGTGCTATGTATCTGCGGAATCTAGATGTTGCCAATTCTCCAGACCAGTTTTCAGGGAGTGGGCCTTTAGGATTTGAAGTATGCTGTTAGCTGACTTGGGCTGAATCTTTTCATCTAATGAAGAAAGAAAACAAATCTACTTTTTGTGGTCCTTTGTCATTGCTAATACTCCTGCAGAACCCCTTAAAACCTCATAGACTGGGCGCCGGGGTGGCTCAGTTGGTTAAGCGACTGCCTTCGGCTCAGGTCATGATCCTGGAGTCCCGGGATCAAGTCCCGCATCGGGCTTCCTGCTCGGCAGGGAGTCTGCTTCGTCCTCTGACCCTATCCCCTCTCAGGTGTTCTCGCTCTCTCATTCTCTTTCTCTCAAATAAATAAATAAAATCTTAAAAACAAAAACAAAAAAAACCCTCATAGACCTCAGGGTTAAAGATGGAAGAGATCTTGAAAATGAATTTGCATAGAAGATATAGAGCTCTCGTGAACTTAAACTACTAAGGAGAAGGGAGAAGAACTGGAGCAAGGGATGGGAGTGTAGGAGCTTTGTCTGATATCAGTAAGCTGTGGGCCTCCATTAGCATTTTCCATGCGGTGATATCCTCTGTCTCAAACTCCAAAGGTAACTGGCTGGGCTGACCCTGGGCCTGCAGAGCTCCTTTTAAACTCTGCAGGCTGAAGAGACTCACCCTCAGGTAGTCTTCCACCTGCCAATTTAAGTGGCATGTGAGAAACCTCATTTGCCAGTCTCTCCTTAGTCCTGTTGGCAGTACATATTTAGGCTTCCAAGTGAGGTTAGTAGTCCAACCCCTCTATCATGTTGCACAAAGATACACATCATACATTGTTTTTCTGCTCTATCATTTTCACCTCCTATCCTTTATTTCCATAGGCAGCCTGGGAAAGTCCAAAGTGTAACTCCTGTGCTTTACAAACCCAATTGCGATCTCTTGTCTCTTTAATACTCAATTCCTCTTGTGGGCTATGTGATGTGCAAGTGCTTCTTGGATGTCTGATCTGAGACCAAGCTCATTCCCAGTAAATCTGGAGCTCTAAAGTGCTAACCTGGAGCCTATAAAAGAGGAGGTTTTTCTAGAATTATTTGCCAGAGATGTTGATTTGGCTGTTAGAGGACTGCTAGGCTGTCTTGAAATCACCCAAGTTGAAGAATTGGTGACACAAAGCTTAGAGGAAGGGTCACAGGGCAACTATCAAAGCTCTTGGTGCAAAGGCCACTTACCACTTCGTCATCCTCCACTAGCACCATGTCATAGGCACTGAGGGCCGCACAGAAAATGATGCAGGTGACTCCCTCAAAGCAGTGGATCCACTTCTTTCTCTCCGATCTTTGCCCTCCCACATCAAACATCCTGAGGGAAAAAAACAGCACATGCACTTGGTGTTTACCCCAGAGAGGTGGCCACTTTGGGCCCAGTTGGCAGTGAGATGGGTAAGGGGGAGAAATAGGGTAGTCATTCAGATGGGACTTTAGTGAAGCATGCCCTTGCCCTTTTTTGGTATCTGAGGTGTACTCAGAGAACCATGTGTGTTTCTGTGGTGCCCCAGGGAACCGTGTACTCACCTGAAGTTCAAGTCTTTGACTGAAAACTTGGTTTCAGTGATGCCTGTGGTTTTGACTCTGGATCGAAGCACATCTTGCTCATTAGGGAGGTAGTCAGGGGCTGTAATCCGGTCTAATTGGTTCAGGTAGCTAGAGAAAAAAGCTTGGAATTGACATTAAACTTTCCATAGCCAAGGCCAAGAAAGGTAAAGGGTCTTACCCAAAGTTCTACAACTAATTGGTGATAGAACCAGGACTAGAATCCATATTGTTAAACCTAGGGTTCTTTCCTTCAAACTCTCATGTGCCCTTAAAAAAGGGAGTGTGGGATGGGTTGAGAGGCATGCCCAGTTGAGGCAGGGGTTCTGTCCCATTTAAATCAAGTCAGATAACTTTTCCTTAAGGTTTGCCTGACTGCAAGGTTTTCTAGACCCTTCAGTGAGATTTGGTGGTTTAAATGGGTGCCAAAAGTTACATCAAGACGCAGGAATAGACTATAAGAGACTTCAGAGACATTAAGAGATGTGAGTCGGTGCATTGCATGGGACCTTATTTATATTCTGAATCAAGTTGGGGAGCAAACATTTGAGATAACTGGGGAAACTTAAATGAGCACTGGCTTGGATATTTGATGACATTAAGGAATTATTATTTAGGTGTGACAATTAGATTATTCCTTTTTTTTTTTTAAAGAGCCTTTTTTTTTTTTTTTTTTTTTTTTTTTAAGATGTAATGATAGAATATGTGGGACTCCCTTTAAAATAATCCATTAGGAGATGGAGGTACAATGAAACAAGAGTGGCTGTGAGTTAACAGTTGAAGCCAGGTGATTCACTATATTATTCTTGTTTTGTATATGTTTGACAGTTATTATAAAACATTTAAAAAGACAGGAGGAAGGCAGATATGAAGTGAGATGACAGAAGAAGGGAAGGAAAATTAACAAGTGCTTACTGTCTGCCGGGCATTTGCACATTGAAATTCTCATTTAACCTCATACACCTTCCAAGTTTCATACCCCATTTTACAGATGAAGGAAAAATTCAGAAGAGTTAAATGACTGGGTCCAAGGTCAAGAGACATTGTGGTATACTGTAAAAAGCCTTCAACTTTGTAGTCAAATAGACCTGGATTCAAATCCAGCCTTTGCCATTTATCTATATGACTTTGGGTAAGTTAATTAACTTCTGAACCTCAGTTTTTCATCTATAAATGGGACTAATACAAAGTGCTCTGTACCTCAAAGGCTTACTGTGCAGATCAAATGAATGGTATACGTCAAGTACCCGGCAGTGCCTGGGCCTTGGTGAGTCAGTGCTCGCGATGGTAAATGAGAACTATGTTACAGAACTAGGTGACAGAACAGGGATTAAATCCAGGTCTGTATCCAGGTCTGACTGCAAAGTTCATGCCCATCCATGATAGATTGCATGCCATTAGAGGTATGATTGATGTGTACCTTATCATTTTGGAACCAGCTTTGAAAGTTGGTTCTTTTGAATCCCTGACCAACTTCCTTTGGTTTGCCCTGGAAGTGTCTGTGTCCCATGCCTGGCACTCCGGCATAAGATGCTATTTATGGGTGAAGGAGGCATTCACTTCTGGTTAGTGGCCTAAGTAGAGCCTCGGTGACATTAATGTTACCCGCTAGAAAATTCCACCCTAGAAAGGCCATCGTGAATAAAGTGCCTCCTGGGAGAGCATGTGGCAGAACTGCAGGTGTGTCTTCTCGTTCATGGTTTGAAAGGAGAGGCTATGTGTATGAATTGATGAAGAGGACAGCGGTCTGAGGGCTACTAAACAGAGGACCTTTGTTTTGAATTCGGGGGGTCTTCAGCTCTCTAGGCTGCAGTGAGCAGGTGTAAAGCAATAGAGAGTGGTGATAACTATGGCGGCACTGTATCTAAGGGCATCACATCCAAAGCATAGTAGAACACTGCTCAAGCCTGAACGAAAAGTATCCATGCTGAATTCAGTTCTTGGGACTCCAGCTTTCAGTGCTTGACATTTTAGGCTAGGTGTGATTTCTCCTGAAAATCCTGGTTGCTTACGCCTCATCCCACCCCTTCCCCAATCAGAGTCTTACTAAGATGCCGAATCATTGAGCTGGTACTCTGCAGCTCGGTCGAAGCAGGCTTGCACCCCACCATCCTTCCACAACTTCCTGATGACCTCCACCAGCTCGGGAGGCATGGTGCCCTCCTCAGTGGAGTCAGCCAGGTTGTTGAGCTGTCGCCCAGTGTCCTGTAAGGCAGAGACCTGGCTGAGAACTGCACAGGAGTAATGGCTTTGCAGGAGGCTCCTGGGAATACTGCTGAAAGGAAAGCATTTTGCATTGCTACCAAAGCCCAAGATGGAGACGGCGTCCAGTGAAGATGCTAAGAAAACACCGATTAATTTTGAGTGTGCTTCGGAGATACAGAGGGTGGCAATTTATCCACTTCCTGGGATGCCTAGGGGAAAACAGGTTCTAGGGGGCATCCTCTGTGGTGTTTCTGTCTTCCAGCCTTCATCCAAGAGGGTACCGCCACAAAATGTGGGTTGTCTGCCACAGGGAAGCTGGAAGTTTAAAGACCAGACTGACCATGAAATAGACAACATGGGAGACAGGAAACCATCACCTTTGTTCTTTCAATGATTCAAATCTTGGAAAAGGCCAATACTGGAACGAGGGGTTTAGCTTATAAAAGCTCCATGGCCAGGGCAACGAGCCCAAGGAGAACAATTTAAATGGTAAAATAAGACAAAAAGGCAGAGGAAGCTGAGAGCAGATTTTTGTAATTTATTTTAAAGGTAGGGATTGCATACTTCTCCAGGACTGAAGTAAAAAGACTGGAAGCTCAGTAGGTGGGATTTAGTTACACGAAACTCTTTTGACTCGTGTTTCCTCATAGCTTGTTGGCTGCTGTTTCTTCCCATTAGCCTTTCCTCCCACCCATAACCACATACTGTTAACCACTCACCGCACAGCTTGGTTCAGCATAGTCAATACCTAGTGTGGACATGGCCCGGATGATAGCCAGGATGGACTGCAGCACATTCCCATAGATGATGGACTTATACTCCAGGCATTCCTCTGGTGTATAGCCATCCTGATGGATGATCCTGCAAGGAGTAGACACCCAGTCCTCAGTTGGACCTGAGTAACCAGACCTAAGGGATTGGGAATCTGGAAGGATTTAAAGGGTCATAAGAACCCAGTCTCTATGCCTGTTGCTGTCCCAAAGTGGAGAGTAAGGGGGAAAAGGGCATGCAGATGAGGGGCATTGGGAATCAGGTTCTTTATATCCTTTACATCTGGGTTCCTTGGGCCCGAGGAGCCCTTCATCCTCCATGCCTCTGTTGGCTCTGCTGACTTCTTCACCCTACCTCAGTCCTCTGGGGCTTTATTCCTACTCACTTCATCTGTTTGACGATAGTGCTCTTCCCTGACTCTCCAGCACCTGCAGGGAGAAATGCTTATGCTTCAGATTTCTACCAGTTTTCCCCAATCCTCCTGTAGATGGCCTGTGGGAAGTCCAAGCTAGGACTTGCTTGGGAGCCTTGTTAGGGAAGAACACATAGGGATGATTGCTGCCCTCAATTTCTGCCGGCCATTCAGTGGGATTTAGAGCAGAATTTTTCATCCTCTGCACTGCTGACGTTTTGGGCTGGAGAATTCTTTTTTTGTGGGGGCTGTCCTGTGCATGGTAAGGTATTTAGCAGCATTCCCGGCCTCTACCCACTAGAGGCCAATAGCACTCTTCTCTTTCACTGTGACAACTAAAAATGACTCTAGACATTTCCCAGTGTCCGGGGGAGGTGGAGGGAGTGATGGCAAAATCTCATTGAGCACCACTGATAGATTCAGGGGAATTCCTTTAACACATTTCTCCTCTGCCTGTATTTACTCAGGAGAGTGTTCTAGGGGCAGGATTGCAGAGAGCTGGCTAACTTCACTAAAATACCGTTTTTTCATCATCCTGCTTTTTCCTTTATTGGCTAAAATGTCCTACTATCCTCTCATTGGCACTCCGCTCCCCCTCCATATCCCCTTCAACCCTCTCCTCCAGTCTGCACGGCCCTGATATATTAACTCCCTCCCACTTAACGCTGCGCCTGTTCCCTCTAAGCTGCTTATCCTGAATGTGGAAGAAAGCCTCTTAGGCTTAAAAGAGCTCTCAGTGGCCTTGCCATCTCTTTCCCCCTTCTGTAGCTTCTTGGGCTCCTTGCTTCCAGCCGTATGCTCACAGATCAGCTGGGGAAGAGGAGGTGCCATGGCCTGGGGCTGCAGTTCCCAGGCTCTGCCTGGGCTTCAAAATAACCCAGCCAGTCGATGTGCCGCTGCATGGATGCCGCCTACTCCAACTAGCTTACCTCCGTACTGTTGGAGGTTTTTCCCCTCAGCCAGGTGTCCCAAACTCTTCATTGTCTTGGTTCTGTTTACAGCTGTGACCAGTTTCTCTGACTGACCAACAGAAGTGCTTTTCTTTTTTCAGCACAGACCTGTGATCTGCTTAGAAGCTCATCAAGGTGATAAACCTCCCATCTGGCAGGGGCTCTCAAGGCAGCTACTGAACAGAAAGTCAGGAAAGGACTGCCGTAGATAAAGACTCTGTTCCTCCTCCCTCAGGGCTCCCTAGTTCTAAAATTTATACAGATTGTGTACTGGAAGCAAGGAGAAGGAACCGGTTTACTTGGCAAGCACCAGTGGGTCTGTCACTGGGACTACATGGCACTGATATGGTAGGACTTCTGAGTCCACTGTCCTCTCCCGAGTCCTTGACTCAGAGCTCTCTGACTGCAGATTGGGTAACTGTCTGCAAGCCCGGGGTTCACCCTGTTTGCCAAGCTGTGAGGTATTAGGTTTGGTTAGATCTGGAGATGGATGGCTCTGTCCCGGCCCTTGCACAATCCTGGTTCAAGGAAGAGCAGAACAATTCTAGGGTAGCTTTGGCATTCTGCATCTCCTTGGGGTGGCTACGCTCAGCCCTAGAGCCCTGATCCCCTAGCCTGAGACCGGCTGGGGAGAAGAAAAATGACCTGCCGTCCCTCCTCCCCATGGGGTGGGCTAGAACCCACCTACCATCCAGGATAAGCAGGAAGGAGCAGTACCTTCTCTGGCTCATCTTCCCATCTCACTCACCCAGCAATAGCAGCTTGACTGTCTTGGCTTCCTTGTCAGCATCCTCCTGCAGCTTCTTTTCTAGCTCCTTGGACCTCTTGGCCAGTTCTTTGTCTTCAGCACTGGCTCCACTCCCCATCTTTCTGCTGTCTCCTCCTTGGCTGCTTCTTCCGGCCCTTAAGCTTCTTCTCTAGAGTTTCCTATGTGAGATGGAAAATAAGGAAAAAGTAAATTGGGATTGAGTATCCGTTTCGTTGTAGTCCTCCTAAAAAGCTGGTCTATAGGGGGCTCGGTGAGGGAGCAAGTTCTAGGTTCTTGTACCCTGCCTGTCTTTGCTGAGACTCCCTACCCAGCTGGAGATCTACTTAGTCTAGGGGATGTAGCCTTTGTAGCTAGCAATGTGACGGGTCAAAGCCAATTAAGAGCTCAGTATGACAAAGGGCAAAGACTTGTGTTTCTGTAACTAGGAAAACGATCTGCGGGATTCTGACACAAGAGGATAGGATGCGGGTACTGAAGCTGGCTGGAATGAGATCGTGGCTGCCCCATCCTTTTGAGGGGCTGATACCCTAAAAGTCTCTTCCTTCCCTGGATTCACTTGCATCTTAGTGCTAGAGATTAGAGGCATAAATGCAGGAAGCTCTGCCCATCCTGAGGCTCCAGATTGTACAGTCTTGGTTTTAAGGGCTTCAAGGCATCAAAGCACCCTCTCCATCAAAGCACCCTCTCCATGCAGGCTGGTCCTGGCAAGGAGTTTTTGTTCAGGGTGGTGCCCTTCCTGGAAAGATTAGAAATGTTTCCTCCAGCTCCTCCAGTGGCTGCTGCACCAGGAAGCTCTCAGCGTCGTTCCTTTATGTTGGCTCATCTTATTGTGTGTGCTTCTGTTAATAGCACTTATCACTTCATATTGTACTTCACGTTACACATGGGTTTCCCCCAGGCTGAATTCCTTCCCCTGGAACTCAGACCAAATGTGATTCATCTTTGAATCCTTCAGACCTTGTGGTTTATTAGTGGACCCTCAGTAAAGGTTTGGTGACTGAATGAAGGAAAAAGGGTATGTGTAGACAGAAGGGGGCTGCTTCCCCTCAACCCGCTAAAGCCACCTGAGGCCCAACTTCACTTGGTGAGTGAACTTACGCTGGTACTTACAGAGTGGGGGTCTGCTGCCTCATATAGCAAACTGCTTCCTTGGGAAATTATTGGACTCTAGCCTCTAGCTTTGCAAAGGTTGGTACGGCCCTCCCTCTGGCCTTCATCCCTGCTGCCCCTTCCTGGGGAGAAATGCTAGAGTGCAGTCCAGTAGTTGCCTCTCAGACCTATCAAAGACTCTCTCCATTGGTCATATTTCCTTATGCCAGTTATTTCAGTTTAATTAAATGAGTTGCTGCTGGAGCCTCCCCAGGAGGACATACTTCAGCATTTTGCGACCCAGAATGTGGCACAAGGCCTAGCACCGTTCACCTGGGAGCTTCTTAGAAAAGTAGGATCTCAGGCCCTAACCTAGACCTTCTGATCCAGAACCTGCATTGTAACAGAATTGCAGGTGACTCTTAAGGATGTTAAAATTTGGGAAGTGCTGCCCTAGAAAGTATTAGGGAACTGTTTTTTCCTCAGACCTGCCTAATTATGAGGATCACCTGAGATGCTGGTTTCTGTGTGTCATCAAATCTTAAGATATCACCGGGGCGCCTGGGTGGCTCAGTTGTTAAGCGTCTGCCTTCGGCTCAGGTCATGATCCCAGGGTTCTGGGATCGAGCCCTGCATTGGGCTCCCTGCTCAGCAGGAAGCCTGCTTCCCCCTCTCCCACTCCCCCTGCTTGTGTTCCCTCTCTCACTGTCTCTGTCTGTCAAATAAATAAATAAAATCTTTAAAAAAAAAATCTTAGATACCACCGATTGGAAGATCACTCAGATTTCAAAGATCTTAACATATCCTGTATGTTTTTTGTTTTGTTTTGTTTTTTATATCCTGTATGTTTTTAAAGGGGTGTGTTTTAGAATCATTACGTTCCAGTAATGGTGCTAATTCCAGAGCCTGAGAAACTATTTTAAGCTAATATAGGTGATTATCATCATGTGGCAAGTTTGAAGAAACCTGATCTAATTGGTCTGGAATACAGTCCAAGCATGAAGATTTCCAAATTTCCCCAGGTGATTTTAATATGCAGCCAAGGCCCTGAGGATTTAACTTGAGTTCGAAGGGTTTAACGTGCTCTTTCCTTTTAGTGTGGAAAAGTGCTGCAGTCCACTGGGCCGGAGAGGGTGGGAGGTAGCACCTGGGTCTCCTACCTACTAGGTGCCCTGAGCCACTGCTGAGCATCTTCCTCCTTGCACCGCCTTTCAGCTGCATATCTGAGTGTCTGGATGAGAAGCTTTGGGCTTGGAGCCCAGACTCTCAGGGCCGATGGAGAAATAGGTAGCCGCCAAGGTGCCTTCCATAGTGATCATGTTTTCCCAATCAAAACTTGGCAAATACTTCTTAAGAGAAAACAGGAGAATGTCTTTGAAATTGTGACTGTCTTGGAATCTTGGCTATAAAGTTTCAGTAATTATACCTCCCTAGTGCTGCAGCCTACTCACAATATTGGTAACCTACACCCCGGCCAGAGCTGTACCGAAACCTTCTGTGTTCAGAGCAGGGGACTGCCAGGAACTGTGCTAGACAATTTATGGGGCTCCTATCAGTTCATTCTCACACTAACTACAAGGTAAGTGCTCTGTCCCCAGTTTACAGACCAGATAACTGAGGCTTGAAGGTTAAGTAAATTGTTTAAGGTCATGTAAGCTTAATAAACAGATAAATCAGGGGATCTTTCTACTACCCCCCCCCCCCATAAGCAGCCAGTGAAAGAAAACTTGGACAAAAAAGGCAAATGCATGAGCTTGCTAACAGTAGCACTTGCATTGTGAAAGGAACCACGAACTTGTTTCACGCATGGGGAAAATATTCGAGCTGTTCCTTTTTCAGCTACCACCTCTGCAAACTTCTGTGCTGCTTCTACTTGTTTCCTAGTTTGCTGGGTTCCCATTCCCACTACTAAGCTGAGTAAGGAAGCTCCTGACTCTCGCCTGGCCTCTAATTATGCTGACCCATTCTGGCGCCAGTGACCTTCTGCCTCCCATCGTCAGCTCCTGTGCCTTTCCTGTGGCTGTTCTACTTTATTACCACATTTGAATTCAGTGTCCTGGTGGAGCAGGTAAAGCATGTAGGTGCAATTCCCATTTAGAAGCACAGAAAGATGATCCTTACCTTAATAAACTAGTATCAGAATCAGCAGAGCTCAGGAGTCCTAGTTCACAGCCTGATAACCAAATCATTATGAGTGAAAAAAGACTCACCATTTCCCAACAAGTTTGGTCCTGTTTCCTGAGCTAAGGGGAGATCTCAGGATCTGTCTTACCCTCAGTGGCGGGGACTGTGGGTAAAGCCTTGTCCCGGCTGGAGTTGGGGGCACATAATGAGGAATTCCCTTCAGGACCTTCCAGTCCAAAGGAAGAGGAGGGGTAAATTCACAGAGAAATAGTCTAATTAAAGGAACACTGTGCTGGAGAATTCAGGGCTGTTTAAAACCTAACCTCCGTCCCTGGTAGGAAAAACAATTCTAAGCACATTTAACTGAAAAATTCTGTAGAAGAAAGGAGGGAGGGACTAAATGAACAGACTTTGATCAGAGAAGCAGAACAACAGTAGAAAGGGGAGTAAGTGATTTTGGGGAGAGGAAAGCATGAGAGAAGGTGTGGAGGGAAGGGAAGGTGTTCAGGGAAGACTGGGAAATGGGATATGTCCAGCCAGTTGAGGACGGCAAAGTGAGGGCCTTGAGTGACAGGGCAGGGCGTGGCTAAAACCATTTGAAGACCTAAGTACAGCTGGGTACAGCTGCATGATGCTATGAACAGTGTTGGGGCACTGGGGTCAGGGGTGACAGGGCTGGCTGGACAAGCTGAGAAACAAGAGCTGAGCAGCTTGGTTCTAGAAGGATCTAAGCATAGGTGATGCTTTGGGAAACTGTTCTGGCCAAGGATCTGTGTGAGGCTGCCAGCGTTCCCTCCCAAGTCCAGTGTCGGCAGAGTGGTCTGGCCTTAGGGGAGAGGCTGACGTCACAGTGGGCTATAGGCCAGACACTAAGAGAAGCGTTCTTCAAAGAATTAAGGAGCACACTTGAGTGGGGGCCTAGGGTTCAGGGAGGGCCATTTAAGGAGCCATCTGGTGAATAGGGTAGGAGGGGAGGAAGCTGTGTTTAGAGTTAGAGAAGATCCCAGAGGCTCAAAGACAACATTAAGAAGCTGGAGGCCAAGGGGGATGACTCATTCCTTCATTTCCCAAACTCTGTTCTATGTAGACGGTGAACCCCGCTGAGATTTTTGCTGGTGTTGTGTAGGTGGGGAGATCTATGCTTAGCTGTAATCAGTACGCACTTCCTAGCAGGGATGGCGTACCAAATGGCCTGGAAATAGGGGAGGGTTACCAGGTGAAGGGTGTGTTGCCGATGGGACTAGGGAGGAGCATGAAGGGACTAGTGAACCGGTTTGCCTGGGTAACGTGGAGGGCAGGGATTGCCACCTATGGGCTAATTAGGTAGGTAATAGGTAAGTAGGTCTGAATCAAGGGGGAAGTCCTAATGAGACCTAGCCCAATGCAAGATACCACTCCTTAAAACTATGTCAAAATTTGCATTTTGTCAGAATATAGATGACATTCTACATGGTTACCTGCTGCTTGATTTTTAATTTCAAGGTTTATTTTGTTACTCATTGTTGAGAACCCAACGGCTTCAAAATTCCTAAAGATAAGAGCAATTTAGCCTGGGGTTAAGATCCAGGAGAGTCTGTTGGGGGTGGGGTGTGGAGGCTATTACAGATTTGTTGTTTTCTATTCCCTTGATTATAAAAGTAATGGCTATGCATTGTAGACAATTTTTTAAATGCAGATGAGTATAAAGAAGGAAATATAATTCCCAATTCTACTGCCCACGGATAACCATTTGTAACCTTTTTGGTGTGTTTGTTTTCTATGCATATATGTCACATATTTAGGGCCATACTGTATGTACAGATTTTACATTCATTTTTTTTTAAACCAGACTTTACATTGTAAACATTTCCACCTCATTAAGAAGTTCTCCAAGAACAATTTTTAATGATTGTATTTCATTGCAT